TCTTATTAACACAGAAATTGAAGATAGACATTGGGAAGGAGGGAATGCAATGGGATTCCCGTCCCTTAGAACCGAATTCGCTGGGTAATTAAAGCGGTGACGGTGTTTTGCACAACCCGGACCACCAGGGGCATGGGCTCGGAGGGGCAGAGCCCCGGTGCTGGTAAGACCTGTGGGTGCAATCAGCAATTAGCCCTCCCGCTCTCGTTAGGAGCAGGGAAGTGCTTGTCCCTGGCTTCTTTCCACCCTTCACACCACGTGCCAGCCAGCCCCAGCCCACCACAAAAAAAGCCTGGCTGCTCTCCCGAGGGACGGGAGGGACTTGCTCACCTTTTCCTTCGAACATGCCTATAAGCTGTGCACCCATGGCCATGGCCACGTTGGAGATGAGGCAGGACGCCAGCTTCTGGCTGTGGGACATCAAATCGTAGCGGGGCGAGATGAAGAAGTAAGGGATGTAGGAGAAAAAGTAGAGGAAGCCGCCAGCAGCGGCTGCGACGTTTGCTGCCAGCACAGAGAAAAGCGGGAGGGAAAATGTCAATAATACGGTGATGGCACCGAGTATTTCTCACCAGCTTTCCATCAGTGGAGATTCAAGCCTTGGTTTGGGAAGCAACAGTACAGGCATCCCTTCCCATGCACTGTGGGGAAAATGCAACCAAAAAAAGGGAAGAAAGCCCCCTCCTCCTCACATGTCGAAGCAAGGTATCCAAGATAGAGCCCTGTGCAACCTCACCTAACTCTGGAGCGGGCCCTGCTTCGAGCAGGGCGGCCCGGTGACCTCCGGAGCTGCCTCCCAACCAAAACTAACTGAAGATTGTACAGCACGAGGCCCGTAACGCACCCCCAGCCCCAGGGGGCAGCAGTGCAAGGAGGCAGCTGGGGAGGGACTCACCTCTCGAGAAGAAGGTGCTCACCATGAAGTTGAAGGAGATGGAGGAGATGGAGAAGATGGCGAGGAAGGTGAACACCAGCGTGGGGTCACTGTTGGTGAGCACCGCGCCCTGTTCGCTCACCTGCCGAGAAAATCTGGTTACGGCCAGGGCTGGCAAAGCCGACCAGAGCTGCAGGCACGGGTGGGCAGCCGAGCCCCGGTGCTCTCCATGGGTTAAAGACAAACTGAGAGATGGGTGAGAACCCCCAGGCCCTCCTAGACCCCTCCAGAGGGAAGAAATACGGGTTGCCCTTGTGTGAGGCAGGGTCTAGGAGGCAGGGGACACCTTGCTCAGCATCCAGGCAGCCTCCTCCTGCTTCTCACGGTGTGGGGACGAGCGGAGAGGAGAGCCCAAGTCCCTCCAAGGGCACGCAGGGCTGCAGGAGCGGGGTGGTCCTGCTCTGCATGGCACTGCCTGCGCCCCCCCGGTGCCCATGGGGCTCCTGCCCCTCAGCCCCCTCCGGGGGAGCTCACCCCTGCCATGGAGGGCAGCTCTGGGGGGCAGCTCTGCCCACCCAGCTCTGGAAAAGGCCTACTCCAGCCTCTGCTACGCAGGCGGAGGAGTCCTGAGATACCGGGATGGTCCAGCCCGCGGCAGAGGAGCCGTGTCATCCATCACCTTGCCAGCACAGAGCTTCTGGCCTGCAGGACGGTGGCCTGGGGAAAGACACTCACCTTGACGCAGAAGAGCACTGTGACGAAAAACACGGACACCAGGAGGAAGAGGAAGAACATGAGGAACCAGGCGCTCCAGTGCAACCAGTTGCTGAGGCCCATCATGTGCATGTACTCCTGCGGGGAGGGGACGCCGTCACCCGGGGCTGCACCCGCACTGCCTGGGCACGGCCGGGGGCGAGGTGGAGGCCCCGGTCAGGGTGGCAGTGGCTTTGCCCTGCAGATCTGGCAAGGGAGGTGGCGGCCCCAGGTCCCACCCGAGTGGTCTTGCGCAGCCTTCGGCGTCACGCCGTGTCCCCCGCCTCCCTGGGCAGGGGCTGCCGCCACTGCAGGAGAGCATCTCCCCAAGGAGCTGAGCTGGACCCAAAACCGCAGCAGGCTGATGCTGGTGGGGCCACGGTGGCCACCCGGCAGTGGGCAGGAGAAGCCCGCGGCCAGGGGACGCCGAGCTCCAGCCACCCCACGACTCGGACACACAGGTTCCCACATCCAGAAGACAAAAATCTCGTTTCCCACGCACGCAACTCTTGCGTTGACAAAACTCTTGAATTGTCGCCCCCTCTCCCAGCCACCTTGGGAACACCAAGCCCTTCGGTCCAGCAGCCCTGGCCGCCCAGCAAGGAGAGCCGAGCCGCATCCCGGAGGCAGGATTAGCGACATTCCTCCCCGGGGCTTGCTAATCTGCTGCCATCCCCACTTCCTGCTCGCTGGCTCCAACCCCGACAAAATCTTTTTAGTAGGGCCAGCTGTGACAGGACAAGGGGGGATGGCTTTAAACTGAACCAGGGGAGGTTTAGACTGGATCTAAGGAAGAAATTCTTTACACTGAGAGTGGTGAAACCCTGGCAGGGGTTGCCCAGATTGGGGGTGGAGGCCCCATCCCTGAGAACATTCCAGGCCAGGTTGGACGGGGCTGTGAGCAACCTGATGTGGTTCAAGGTGTCCCTGCTCCTGCAGGGGAGGTGGGCTGGGTGACCTCTAGGGGTCCCTTCCCACCCAGAACATTCTAGGATTCTATGATTCTACGATTTCGTTCCCAATTTAAAGGCAGCATGCTCTGGGACACAACGCAGAGGGAGGGGAGCGCCCAGACGTCCCACCACTCACATCTTACCTTCAGCTTCTTCTCCTTCTCGTGCACGACGGCGCGGACGATGTTGAGCGAGGTGTAGGTGAAGCTGAGCATGAGCAGGAGGGGCAGCTGGTTCTGGATGGCGAGGAGGAAGAGGTCGTTGACGTAGGCCGGGTAGGGGAAGCGTTGCACCACCACTGTGATGTTCTCCAGCAGGCCGGCGGAGCTGGCGTTGGCGTGGTACTGCATGACGGCCCGGTCCACCGCGTGCTGCACCGCCAGGAAACCTTCTCGGATGTAGCCTGCGCGGCAAAAACGAGACGGGGAAGTAGAGGCGGGTCCGGGTTTTGGAGGTGAGCGTGGGCAGAAGGAGAGAAACGGCCTTTGCGGGAGGGATTGCTTGGGAAGAAGAAGGGGGAAGATGAAAAGAGCTGGTAGGAAAAGCAGAACAAACGCCACCATTGACACCCCCCTGCGGGCACAGAGGGGCTTGGGGGGGGGATTTACGTCGCACCAATGTGAGTCTCTCATAATCATCACTTAAAAGCAGCTGGCAGGAAAATTCCAACTGAACGGTGGTCGCCGTTCTGCAAGGGGGGAGTTTCTCCATCACCATCAACCCCCACCAGCATCGCTGCGCTCGCATCCCGTCCCTTTTGTTTTGTAACCCGAGGGAACACGGGATACCGCGCAGGTTTCGGTGAGGAAGAATACACCCCGTTACTCACACCCTGGGCTTAAACTGTTGTGCGTTAGAAACCAGTGGAAGATTCTTAATTTTCCACCAGTTCGTGGTTACGTGGGAGCTCTGCCTCCTGGTACTCGAATGGGAACTCAAGCTCTGCTTAGAGAGCCCCCAGCGAGCGCTTTGCACCTCGGCTGCTGAAAATGACCCGGACAGCGACGGAAGAAGTAAGGATACGAGATGACAAACCACGTTTTATATCAACTAACTCACCCAAGGACCACCCTAGCTGCTGGTCACCCCGGCCGCAGAACGCTCGAACCCCCAGGTATCGCCCTCTCGGGCTCCCGTGTATTTACACTGCGCGAGCCAAACCCACTCCCCCGCGTTCTCGGCCTCTCAATCTTTTCCTTGGCACGGCTGCTGAACGACGGAAGGAGAAACCCAGCCCAGGGAAATATCCCTTTGAAGCCGCAGAGGAAGCTCCCAAAAAATCAGGTCCTAAGCCAGCGCCAACTCCAGCCATGTCCCCGCTGCCTCCTGCTTGGCCAGGGGCTGGGCTGTCCTTAAGCACCTACGCTCGGACCAC